AGGCCAGTTTGCAAATCTACGCAACACGCTCTTTCCAATGAGACGTCAGTGGATAAAATCGGTTTAGAAATGGTGGAGGATTCAACCGACAAACTTCGTGTTCGCGTATTAATTATATAGATTTCATATGTGCATGAAATGTTGGTGTGAAACCAACTTGTATAACTTTAAGCTAAATGCTTTAAGTTACCTGGCTTAGTCAAGTGATCCTTCTTCAGTATTACACTACTATTGTTTCGGACTTGAAAATAAGTCCATCTTCAGAAAACGTCAATAGGTCATCTAACCAAATTGGTTAGATGACCTATTGACGTTTTTGTTAACTTGAAGATGGACTTCCAGAGGCTACCTCACCATGTATACCTTTGAAGTAGAGGCTATATTTATTCCCAAAAGGTATCAAACGCCAGCTCCTGATCAAATCTTTTCTATCCCTTTAAAGTTTGTTTCGTGTTTTTAGTCTTCACGTACAGAGACTTAAATCTTTGTATTAAATTGTTAGCAATCATAAATCGTGGACAGAATCTTCCACAAAAGATAAATACAATATAGTTTAACACCCTAGAACTCCTTAAAAAAATATATTTTGTTAAGGCTTCGTCATAATGTTAAAAATACTCAATACAACAAATTCATTAATTTTACATATGTAAACGTTGATAGTTGTGTGCGTATTGTATTTTAATATATCTTCTGTATACATCTAGTCCTCTATATTTTCTGTGAACACAAATGCTTCTGTATACACTTTTTTTGCAACTCACAGTAACTGAGAAATATTCTAAACTGGTGAACTGTTTTTATAAATTTTTGCCATTATTTCTCAACCCGTGCTTAAAAAATTAGTGACTCTTGGATGAATCCAGATACAAAATTTAATCTAAATCGGACCACAGGTTTTGTTTGTAGCTCTGTATCTGGATCATACAAGTGTGTATTATATAACATGATCAAATCACATAGTCAAAATATGTTTTATTCTATAACTTTTAATTTAATTAAACATAAAAGTCATGCTCCCTCCATTTTTAAAGTATTCAGTCCAAAAATGTAATAAATTTACTTGTGCATACATATTTATTTCGTTTTAATAAATAATTGAGGTGATGCAATACACTTATGTAGGCAGTCGCAGCAATCGAAGCCGGGCATAGCGCCTAGTTTCACGAACGCAAACCGCGCAACGAGTAGCTAAATGAGCCGTAGAGTAAGTGAACCATCTAATATTTCGAAGAGGGTTCACTTACTCTACGGATCATTGTGCCAATGATCTGTAGTGTAAGTGAGCCATCTAATATTTTTCTGCAGGCTCGTATAGTATACGAGCCTATTCCTATAATTTATATTATGCATTATTTTGGCTCGTATACTATACGAGCCGATTCCTGAATTATCAAATAATTCGTAAGCTTGGCTCATAGTCACTATGATCTGTAGAGTAAGCGAACCTTCCTACTGTAAATTTAAATATAATACACGAGGCTCATAGGCACAATGATTTGTAGAGTAAGTGAACCCTCTTCATTTACTTTTTATTTTCGATAGGCTCGTATAGTATACGAGCCTGTAGTGCAAGTGAACCTTCAATATTATTTAAAAAGCTCGTATAGTCTATGATCTGTAGAGTAAGTGAGCTGTCCCCATACAAAATTACTGACGATCAACCACTAAAAGCTCTCATCGAAGCTACATGAGGAACATTCTATGCCGCCAAAGAATAAAGATGTGGCAAAATAAAAAAATGTGTTCTGTTGATTGTTTTTGTTTGTTTGTTTTTGGGAGGGAGTGAGAGTTGAGAGTGTTCGTTTCGTTGCGTTCTGTTGCCTAGTGCTTCAAACTTTTTACTTTTAATTACTTTAGCTGAATATTATTTCGTGTATAAAAGGATATTTTAGCATTACACTATATCGTGAAGAATATGACTAGCCTTTTTTGGTATTGAAGTTCACGCTGATATGGAACAGATGAAGTTCTGCCCAGAATTCACAGTTTCATTACCTAGGCCTAGCCTACGTTTTTCTTGTTTCTAGATTTCTTAAAGTCTGCAATAGCTCACTATTAGCTCTAGCTGCGTCCATGACGTTTCTGTTTTGTAGTTTACAAGCAAAGTGTCCCACATGCACGGATAATTTCAAAATAGGCCTAAATGTGAAATGTTGTCATTGCCCTAGGCCTATCAGTTGTTGGTGTAAACCATAGGCTAGGCTACACAGACTTCACCCTAAATGCACCTCGTGAATTGTGAAACTGTGTTAAAAGTGTTTAATGAAGTTTTGGAGGATATCAACGGGGGGAAAAGTGTTGTTCCCCCATATATTAGGCCTACATTACTTAGCTGAACACTTTACCGGAACCCCGGTCTGACAGGCATACGGGAATTTTCGCGGCAAATATTTACCGTACCTACACTGGGTTATTATGTAATTTTATATGTCTACTTACAGTATTTTTCACGCTGATTCCTAAAATGCAATCAGTTTTTTTTTGTCGGAGGGATTCCTAAGTAGCCGTAGTGGCTGTAAACGAAGGTTAAGATTACGAACCTAAGGATAATTGAGCGGATAATGTTCGTTGGCAACACTGTTCACTTGGGGGATTCCATTCCCCGAAAACCTTCCCCTCTTTTCCTCCCCTACCTGTTGATATAAGTTTATTGGTTGTTCATTTTGCGTAGGTGCCGTGACCTTATCAGGTTGTCTGTTCATAACATGCCCGACTCAAAAGCCCGGCGTTAGTGTATTTTAAAGCGGGGTCTTACAGGCAAAGGGATTTTGTTTGTGTTTCTAAGGGTGGTGAATTATTTTCAAATAATGTAGTCTCACAGACCATAGGTTACGGTTAGCATCAGCCTGGGTAGGATTTCGGTACCGTAAGCTTATTAGTGTTAAGATCCCCCTTATCTCCAATATAGGCCTAGGCTACACAAATTTTCCCTGTTACACATCCCAGGAATATTGAATTCCTTCAGTTTCAAAATCCTATAAAAACAATAATGGTAAGTAGGACCACACGGTAGCTAAAATAGACCTTTCTGGTTGATAGATAGTTTACTGCGTTCCAAAAATTAATCGAACTAACTTAGCCCACGTTGAGACATTTAAGTTATATGAACTTCCTTGGTCTTCCTTAAGTCTTCCTTAGTTAGCGGTTTGCAACGCAGGGACAATGACGAAACAAAAGATTCCCTTTATCCAGCAAACACATGTTTGCACATTTAACAAACACAATCCCACAACTAAGTTAGGCCTATTGTAAAGCGGTTTTGTTAATTAACACAGACGTCCTAAATACAGTACACGTTAGGCCTAGGCCTATTACCTAAGATAAAACACTGCTTGAAATCATCTAGACCTGTCTTAGTTGACCAGTTCCTTGTAAGCTACTAGGGTCACATAAGCTGGCTGGTGCCAGCAAGATCACATGGACGTGATTTTCCATAAGTCTTGTAACAGTTTCGGATAAGGCATCATTTTAAACCATGTAGGCCTACCGATAGCCAATCTTCTAATCCTGTGTGCAATTTCATTGGCGAATTAAGAGGCCCGAGTACCCTATGTAATGCGCTCTGACCCTGAGAGGTAGTTACGCCCCCCGGCAACATTGATATTAACCTTAAAATGAAAATATGCATTTTACGATTTTCACGCGCATCTACAATATTACAACAAGGCTCTCGATAAATTGTGTTTGCTTTTGATTGTTAATGAAATTAGGCTTCAGCAGGGGTTTGAGGAGCATAGAAAGCCAAAAAATAAATCTGCTATCTTTTAGCAGTCGAGCCAAGGCGCTAGCTTTGATTATTGTTGGTTGCTTGGATGTCAATTGAATCTCTTCTTTGAATTCAATCAATTCCTTTCTATATTCAAAAACTGTGTTTACTGTCCTGCCCTTAAAATTCCATCTTGTAGCGGACGCCCGTGGTATTCCTTTGTCGACAACTTTATCCAGAACAGCCACTCTCTGAGGGGAGGTTGTAAAAACATTTGTGATATCGCTAAAATCTGGAATAGCCTAAAGATTATTACATATTGGTTTTGGCGTCTTGCTTGAGCAACAATCAAGTTAAGCTGATGAGCGTAGCAATGTACAAAAAAGTGTGGTTGTAGTGTTTTTGGACGAGTTTTTTTAACTTTGTGACACCAGTTTTGCGGGACTTTGTACAGCATCTTCTATACTGGCAATGATACATTTGGCTAATGATTCCATGTCGTGCCCCTCAGGATTGTCTAATTTACAAAATCTTTCAACAGACTGACCATTTGACAAAACATACCGAAACACTACTGTAAGACCAATGATATGTCTGAAGTTTGGTCTGCTATTACCGAAAAATACTGTGCAGATTAATCTCTGTTTTCTTGACCCACAGAAAGCATACTTTAATTTAACAGTTCATTTTGAATTTCTTTTGATGTGCCTTTGAAAATATCCCAGGGTTTTGGGATTCTTCATTTTCATGGTGGCCACAAAGTGCCAATTCAAACTCACCACAAAATTTCACCCAGTTATTAAACTCGGAATGTACATACCTGTTCTCAGTAACCTGTCCATTGTGGTTTTTTAAGTTTTCTATGTTAGCACTTTGCTGGTACACATCAACCTTACCCAACAAGTTAAAATAGCAACATAGCATTTATGTGGTTTAAAGATACCTATTTCATGCTTTTTAATTTTTCGGGTTAAAAGAGCCAAATCAGATACGCCAACTTTAACCCAAGCTTGATCAGCCTTTTCACGAGAGAACAACATACAGCGAAAACAAAATAGTTTGTTTCCTCACAACCACTAAGCAAAGCCGTTTTCTTGTAGATATCCTCCTTCAATTCTCTAATTAATGTCCTAGTTTTACGACAATTGAGGTTTGACAAAGCCTAAATTAAGTTTCGAAGTTGGCTTTAAGAACTGCAGAAGACCAGCAGACCCTGAAGGTAGCAACATAAGGGTGACAATTCAACAGTTGTCTCACATGTTACCTATGCAAGGGGTTAGATTTTTGATACCTTGTGCTTGTGACCATGACAGTCAACGTGGACGGACTCCAGGCTAGGTGTTCTACTGGCACAGCAATGTCTATCCATGCACATGTCCTCTGTACATGGGACCAGACAGTCTGAGGTGGAGGATACTTCGCCTCCCTTTGAGAGACCCTTTGGTTCCTGCAAAGAGAACACAATGATTTTTACTATTGTACATCTATTTATGAAAAACAAATTTCCCTTTGATGGTTCTATAATGCACTGCAAATTAAATGTTTCTTCTGGATAAATTCTGGATGTTTCATCCTGAATTGTTGATGAAAATGTTGAAATTGTAAGTTGTGTGAGAGATAAAATTAAATTCACTGTTTTGCTCTAAAACTATGATCAAGCAGGGTGATTAATTATTTGCAGAGGTGATTTGGCTGCCATTAAAAGTCTCCTCAACACTTTTTAGCAACAAAAAGGCTGGGAAATTCTCCCTTTTTGTGAAATGTAACTTCAAACTTATGTTAAGCAAATTATAAGGCACCCCAAAATTATTTTGATAGTTTGAAGTTCTCATGTAATTAGAAATGGGATTGTAGGCTAGTTATTTTTTCCTGATAGGTTTTTTGGACTTGACTGCCTATAAAGCTATGAAGCCTGTCAAATGGAACAATTTTGTAAAATAAATAAATAATATGAAAAAGATAGAAGAGAGATTTGTCAAAGTAAATACTTTTCCTGCCAATAATAGCAAATTTATGTAATAGCCAATGACTTGGTGTTTGGGAAATGATGTGAAAAACTAATATCAAACAAAATCATAATGTACAAATTTCATTTAGGTTTTGATAGCTTCTCTGATATTTAACCAAAATAATCCTTAAATATATGATATGGAATTAATACATTGTCATAATATGTATTGCTGTTTTACACTATGGTCTCTAGCTTTACCTATAGTTCCATGTCTTAATATTATCTGTGTTATGGATTACAGCTCAGCAACAGTCCTGAGGACTTGAGGCACTATGACATTGAAACGACTGGCACCTACTTCACACCATAGAAACCACACCTTATTCTATTTTGACTCAGAAACTCAAATGTCGTCTGTATGCATCTACTTTTCTTAGTAAAGACCTCCACAAAGAAAGTATCTTTTTTGATTCAATCACCACAAGTCAAGCTACAAACTTTATGGGTGGTACCAGATGAAAATCAAACATGAGATTTCAACAAACTGAATCTTGTGTCAAGAATGTGGGAGGTGTTGCATTTAATAGAATGCAGATGCCGAAGATCAAAGTTCATTGGGAGAAGTATGAGGTAAAGTGAAGATCAAAGTAAGAGAAGGGTGACATAAAAGTTTGAAAACAATGTTCTACCAGCAAAGAGGCAGGTCTCGACTCTGAAGAGAATGAAGATGTTGAGAAAAATAATGTCATACCAAAAATATATGGATTCAAATCGTAAAGGTATAGTCCAGTCAGCAGGTAGTTTTAGATGGAAAAAGGTTGGAAGTTAATGAAACTTGGGGATGTTGTTCAGGGATGATAAATCAACATTTTCCCAAGTTTTGGACCTCGAGAGCACTGTGAAAAAAAAGATGGTGGGGGAAAAACTTCAAAATTTTGGACCCTTTTTTGCTTTTTTCTCAATAACTTTTTCCCCTTACTTCCTACCGAAAAAGCATACGTTACACTTTTGTAGAGCGTTAAATTTCCTGCAATTCTACAGTTCAAACATGTTTGTACAATAATTTGTTACCGAGCAATAGTATTTTTATTTTAATGTATTAAAAAAAATCACCAAATCCAAAGAAAAGCAGATTTCCTACATATTTTTTCTGTTGCACGCAAATTATTACTAAATTTTGTAGTAATTATCATTCCAGGTTATAAGCACCATATCCGGATACTCCCATACCTCACCCACCCAGCACTCAGCTGATCAAGGTGGCTTTCTACACTCTGGTTTCACACTACCACAATATTACATTATCTTCTATGTATTATAGGATATTTCACAATTACAATTGATTAATATGTTGTTGAACACATATCATCAAAACATCTATCAGTCTGCAAAGTTGCTTTCCTGTCTTCACTAATCTTTGCTCACTAATTAGTAATTTTGCCTTATATACTCGTGTGTTATATATATCGTCGTGTTGCCGCACTGTGTTGCTTACAGTTTTATATTTGTTTTAGTCTCGTTTGGTTGGTAGTCTACCAGTTATGCTCCTCACACGGGCTATGAAGAGCTATGGAGGACTCACTCGTGGACGCGGAGTAAGTGATTCTGTGCTTTCTAGATGTGCATTAGGCACGCTGTGTCTTCAAAGCATTTGTGAACAAGTAGAATTGTTCGCTGATTTTCGCTCAGAGACATCATCTGAGCAACATTTAGACATGAGACCAACCCGTGTAGTGAGAGACAACATGGCCATTGATAAACTGCTCGCATGGTTCACTGAACATCCCCAATTCCCAGGAGATAGTTTCATTTAGCACAGGAATCATTGGTCATGTTGACGTTAACTGCCACTTCGCACGAGAGATAAGCATATCATGCATGAAGAAAATAATGAATGAAAATGTTGAAGAATTGAAACTCAAACGGATAGACAAGGTGGTGATTCTCACTTCTGTTTCATGCTCGTTGAAAATTTCTGGTAAAAAACTCACTGTCTGTCTATCCTCTCACTCTTTTCTAGTGTGTCTGCATTTCAAAAATATGTGAGTAATATATAAATAAGGTCTTTAAGTTTGAACTCGCCCCCTTACCCATATCAATCTTTATCGAAGAAGGAATGAGCAAGGGAATAAAGTCTGTAATGTACTGACTCTTCACTCCTATAGAGAAAGTAAACCTTGTCAACAGGAAATATAACGTAATTAGAGGTTACATAAAGTGGTGTGAAACAAAACTCCTACAAGCATATGAGGATGCCGACGTGATGATTGTCAACACCGCCATATCCAAGGCTAGCGAATTTGACAGCGTCGTCAATATTGTTCAAGATGTAGACACACTTATTCTCTTGAAATCATTAGGAACTAATACAAATAACGTCTATCTTCATAAAAAGTGGAAGAGGCACATATCCCAGTTTTCTCTACTCCAAGTTTCTGCTCCTTTCCTCCACACAGCAGATGGTTTCGATAACACCTCAGCTGCGAAGAGTAACTAATATCAATACCAACAAGATCTGAATATGGTTGGTTTTCATCGGAGAACAAAATTAGCATTTGAGAATTGGGGTTGGGTTTGGAAATGGTGGGTAGTATGGTGGGGGTAGGGTGTATCCAAATATGGTCCTTATAGCTTGGAACCATAATTACTACAAAATTTAGTGATAATTTGCGTGCAACAGAAAAAATATGTAGGAAATCTGCTTTTCTTTGTATTTGGTGATTTTTTTAATACATTAAAATAAAAATACTATTGCTCGGTAACAAATTAATGTACAAACATGTTTGAACTGTAGAATTGTAGGAAATTTAACGCTCTACAAAAGTGTAATGTATGCTTTTTCGGTAGGAAGTAAGGGGAAAAAATTATTGAGAAAAAAGCAAAAAAGTGCCCAAAATTTTGAAGTTTTCCCCCACCTTTTTTCCACAGGGTCCTCGAGGTCCAAAACTTGGGAAAATGTTGATTTATCATCCCTGAACAACATCCCCAAGTTTCATTAACTTCCGACCTTTTTCCATCTAACGCCTGTTTTTTCTACCTGCCGACTGGACTAGTAACAGAAGGAGTAAAGACGCTGAAGATCAAAGTTTGAAAAAAAATCCACCAGCAATCAGGCAGGTTGAGTCTCAGAAGAAAGAAAATGAAGATATTGAGAAAAGTAATGTCATACCTAATAGATATGGAGGGACAAACAAGCAGCAGGATGAAGATACTGAAAATCATTGTTTGACAAATACAATATCTTTTAAACAATTTTAAGGCACAAAAAAGATACATTGATGCAGAATGGTTGGGCAAAGAGATTCTCTGACACCGATATGACAGCTCCCAGAAGAATTAGAATAAAAATGCAGAAGGGCAAAGAGAATCTCCTACCAATAATATGGGAGGTCCCAAAAGTAATTTAAAAATATAGTCTCCCTTGATTACAATTTTCCATAGGATGATGCAGAAAATAGATGCAGGTTATGTATTATAAGGGTTTTATATATTAAGAAGATACGGATTTTAAGTTAAAGGAGTCCAAAAACATTCCTAGATATCTCTCTTTGCTATACAGAATAAATCTTACCTTGTAGAACTCAGGTTGTATTGTAACATGAGTTATTCCTTGACTGAGAAAGAACCTAGATATGTTGTCTGTGATTTTGGAGTACTCCTGAAAAGAAATATAAATATATAAGAACCAAGAGCGTAGGAAGCAATCAATTAAACACTACCTAAGTTAACTATTTCAATAACATACAGTTTTTAAATAAATACGAGTTCCTATGAGTCCTATGTAAGGGAATCGAGCTGTCAATTAAAACTGAATATAATACAGAACAGCTAGTTTACACGCATAAATACGTATTTTGGCAGTTAATGAGAAAAGTTATCTTGCAAACAAATGTCACGTGGCCATCTATTTCTTTCATTCGATTATAGGGCTATACGATATATGCATTCTAAATCCGATAATTTTACAATAAAACAGCAATTGTGTTGATTTTAAATAGTTATATAATTATGGTATGAATCAATTTTTGTTTTTACTGACACCCTGCAGCTTATTGGACAGTTTTCTAGAGACCCATTACACTGGTTGACATTTTCATTACTATCAAAAATTGTAGTATGCCGACATACACACAAACGAACATCCAGAAAATTAGGTATCATCACGTAAACCGATCTTAAACAATTTAAACGACTAAGTGATAGTTGCTGAAAAAATTTTTCCTAAACATGAGTAAAATTTTCATGGCATAAACTACACAGATTGCATTTTTTGACAAAACTTGATTGAGACGCAAGTGTTTGAGATGTATAGTTCAAAATTGAACATTTCCTGATAATGCAGATACTTTAAAGTAGAGGAAAAAATTAAGTTTTAATGTGAAATAGTATGTAGGCAAATACTGACGATCAATCCTTTTGTATTATGAAAATCCGTCAAGAGGTTGATTCAGAATCGTGGAATAAGAAAATCCCTGTCACGTTAATATATAAGATTACCCACGATTTAGTTTCTTCGTAAACTGGATGTAGGTCACCTTAAACTCTTCCGATAATTGATAACCTTCTTCGCAAGAATAAAATTCTCTATGAAGAAAACTTAATAATTTTCATTTAAGAGGCTCAACTCGTACTTATTTGGTGTTTTATTAGATCTAGTAATAATAGGTAAAGGATTCAGAAAGAGTAAAATTAACACCTCTGTATTTACTACTACAATTATTCATAAAAGTGTAATTTTTAAATAATTTAATTTTTTTACCGAACTTGTTTTTTATGTACCGGTAACACCGATCTTGAGTAAACAGAGTGAAGATTTAATAACTGAACTGAAAATCTTCATTGAGTTTTTACAGAGAGTGTACCAATAAGCAGATTATTATATATATTTAATAAATGACAAGTTGCTGACTTAACGTACTTTTGGATTTAGGAAGATTATGTGAGCTGTGCAGTAGGTCTTGTCTGCTGTCAGGGTCCACACATGGAGCTCGTGTACATTGACTATATCAGGGAACGCTGTGACAAGTTGGCTGCAGAGATTCCCGATGTTAATGTGCTCTGGGATTGTCTGCAGTAGAATTAGACACGAATCCTTCACTGCAAATGATTCCAATACTTGTTAGATATTACTTTACAACACTCTTGAATTTTTTTTACTTTTGTGAACAAAAGTTGAAGATTTTACTCCCATCACACAGCAAGACTATGAAAATAATAATAAAAATGATGAGTATTCTATGTATACCAAGTCCCAGATCTACATATTGGATTTCAACGAGGAAAAATCTGTACTGCAATGCAAATGTTCTTGTGCTTTCACCACTAGACCTCTGAGCTGGAGCAGGTTGAAGTCCTATTATAAGACTAAACGCTAGACTCGCTGTGTGATACCGAATCGTAGAAGTGACTCGTGTTATTGTAAGTGGTAACGCCAAGACTCGAACCTACCTTAGATGTGGGTCAACCTTCAGTTAAGCCTCTCAGGCGAAGAAAACTATCACTGCACTGGATAATTTGTTCTACCAAGAGCCATGCATAATATATGTTACAATCAAAGCTCAAAACTTACTGAAGGGGTAGCTGAGATACATCACCAGGATTGTTGAGAGGATGGAGAATGATGGATCCACAAATTTGGCCACAGATGGATCTGTGCTGTAGACTACAATGGCACAGATGATAACCACCAAGCAGCCTAGAAAAATTACATCACTATCATGGAAGGAAAAGTGTTTTTATAAAGAAACATTTATCTGGAATCTAAAACCTACTTAGGTGACCACACACAGTTTATTTGCCTCTATTTAAGCCTCTCTGGCATAATTTACTTCTTCTCTACTCATTGTTCCTCATGTCTTATCCACCTGGCCTCTCCATCGCAATCTCTGTCTCTTTAAGGTCTCTGCCTATAAAGGTCTTCTTCCTGTTATCACTTTTTTAATTACCAAGTTCTATCATATTTACATGCTTGCCAATTTAACACGTTCGCTACTGCAATAGTACGAAATTTTCCATTCACATGGACCAGCGACGCACATATGCGACGGCCGGTTTCCACCCATAAACTGCTGTCGCATATATGCGACGGCTAGTCACATTAAAATAGACTGCCGACGCATATTTGCGTCGGGGTTCTAATGTTATTAAAATGCTTTTATCTTTGTAGTGGTCTATTTGAAGGCACTGAATTCCCTGCAGTGGTCTACAGAGATGTCTGACGCACAACTGCGTCGCTTGGTCTGTGGATATGATGATTGGTGACGTCATATAATAGTTGGAAAAACTGGTCTTTACTTTTCCGCATCACTGTATGTATGTATGCAGTATGTATGCTGCATTATCCTATGTAGCTTTTATATTTGTTCAGTTATAAACTGTTCTTGAATCATCTGTTTATTTTTTTACTTACTTTCACCATAAAACACAAAAAAATGAACTGTCACATATATGCGACGTTTAGTCTATTTCAAGAAAACTATGATAATTTTCACTATTGTCTTCGCTGTAGACCGGGCGTCGCAAATATGCGACATTACTAAAGGTTATAAAAAATACAAAAAAACAAGAATAATTTATTTACAAACACGATTGTAGCGTATTACAATGTAAATGATCACTGTTTTACAGGTTTTCGCCCGTGGTCTGTGTGTACTGTTATCCAAGTAACAGCCGGTCTATGTGTAAGATTCAAATGTATACCTCGGTCTGTGGCAATGACCGCGGCGTCGCATATATGCGACGCTCAGTAGCGAACGTGTTAAATCGCTTTTATTTTCTCTTCTACCACATCTACTTTCATAAACAGCTCTCTTAGTTTTGGAACACGTTTCTTAAAGGATACAAATCCTTCACATTAAAAACGAACCGTACAAGGTAAACAAAAATTATCTATTGGAACCTTGTAAAGTTGTTGAATTATGAAAATCAAACAGAGAACCCGGTTGGTCCAACGGGGGTTTATGGGGGGTTTTATGGGGTAAAAATAGGTTTTTCCCATTTTTGACCCTAAAAACACAAAATTTCACAATTTCTTGTTAAACCATTTTGTAGAGCTTAAAAAAACAAATAATTTAGTATATTGAAGCGTTATTATGCACCTAATTGTTACGGAGAAAATTCAAAAAAATTGTAATTTTAAAATTCCCATGTTATTCTTATGGAGAATAAGTCAACTGTTGAAGTTTGCTTGTTTATGAACATATTTTGATCAAATTTGGAAAATACAATAATTTCTTACTAAACCACAGCACCTTTTAACATTTTACATAAAAAAAAACTTTTACCCTCCATGTTGTAGCAAACCTAAGTACTCACTAAACTAATTCTGTTTAAATAGGGAATAAATTTAAATTTAATTAAATTTAATTTAATTTTGTTAAGGAGACAATTTAGTTTGAATCCAATCAGGCAAATGGAAATTCGCTAAGTCTGCAGGTTTGCTGCGGCGGGGGTATTTATTTCTGACCTAGGTATTTGTTCTGTGATTTCGCCATGTTATGCATTTATCAAAACTAGTGGTCGTCCAGTGGTCGAAAACATGCAATATGTAATGTAATATATGCATTGAATATTGGATACAATAGTAGACATTCAATTCAGTTGTTGCCATTTTTTATTAAAAACATGTAGTTGTGTGAACCAGTCACATTATGCGTGTCAAAAATTATATATTCTATCTTATTTTTTGTTGCTGACAAAGTTTATGGGTCATAACAGTTAGTTGCTATAGCTCTTAATTAGTCATTCCATAAGTTTGACTTGGTAAAAATCATTATGTATTCGAGAGAAATTAGTCATTTAGATCACCGCAATCAACTACGACGAATTTAATTAAAACAACTGGCGACAACTTTAACATAGGGATGGAATGTCTAGTTGTAAGTCAAAGGTACAGGCTTCTCTATTTTCCCCCCTTGCTGTATAAAATAAAACATGTGATTGTATAATTTCTTCCATTTGTTTTAATTTTCTGTTTATATTTCGTTGTTATTTCGTCACCAGCATGGCAACTCATAAAGCCCATGTTAATTTTTTTAAAATTTAAAATTCATTTTTTGTGCTTATATGTATTTGAGCCTATTTTAATTTTTAAAATTCTGCACATCTACAGGAAAATATCTTTTTAACAGTATGCGTAGATTTTCCCTATGATGCACACAAGCTGAGAAAAAAAGGTTTTAAAGAAACGTGCTTGCCTATTAATATATAGATAAATAAAAGCAATACAAAATAAATTCAATATTCAAATGATAGGCAATGTCAGATATATAAACAATCAATCAAATAAGACTGGATCATTTTTTTTTTTTAAGAAATCAAATGTAAAATTTGAATGAAATATTATGAAAGCTTATTAACATAAGAATTATGAACGTCCAATAACATTAGCTAGAAATTTTATATAAAGAAGTAAATAACTGCTTAATTTATCAATCTGGAAATTAAACTAAGTGTCAACATTAACAACTGGATTTACAGAAAAGTGAAGCAAAGTTGTTCACTTTTAAATCTTTATGTTAAAGAGTAAGGATGACAGTAACAGTTGTAATTAAAATCTTAAGAGGTGGTTTGGGTCTGAAGTTAACGAGGGCAGTGACATGTTTATTGCCTTGAGTTAGTTGAAGATACAACCGGGGGTCATCAGGTAGACCAACAACCACATTGAGACTTTCCCAAGGTAAATCACTGGTGTGGTTACAAACTGAAGATTTATTTGATTCAGGATTCGTTCAGTTTTATAACCAGTGATGTTGGGTCGCAGATTTAAAATCCCCCATCATAGAATTGCCACCATAGAATTATTGTTTAGATAAGCTAAGGACAGTTTTAATGATAGTGTCAATCTGATATGTGGAGGTAGACTTGTTTATTATTTGTTTACTTTAATTTAAGTCAAGAAAATTAACACCAAGTTCTAAAAAAAGATAGTTAAATCTTTAACCAGGAATAGTTAATAATAAAAAAATATGGAATAATTTAACTTTGTTACCTAATATGTTAAGTAGTTTTCAAAATCCGTTTGTTTATTTATCGAGTGATTTAAAACATGTTAACTTATCTTTTTTTCAACTGGAAGAACTTTAAGTAAAGTACAAAAAATGTCACATTTTGCCTCAAATAACACATTATTGTGGGAAAGAAATCCACAACAAAGTAATCTAGTTTTACCATTCTTAAACCAAAAACCTAAACCTACAAGAGTATTCTTTCTTAACAAATTGAATGTGTTTATTTTTTTATAAAATCCACAAAAATAAGTTCAACATTATAGAACAATTCATCTTTACAATGACCATAATTGTTCAACTCCTAAGAAAGAACATTTTCCACTTCATAAAACTTAGATGTAATATACATATTGACCTTCAAAATCAAACATACCTCAGATGATTTTTAAATTCGATATAAATGTGGGTAACAGTTTGTTTTGATATTTTACAGTTCCTTGGTTTCTTTATACCTACCAACAGTATCTCGACAAAGTCCCCACAATCCCTGTCTCTTGGCAGACTTTACTGAAGGGTTCTTCCCCTGGCCATTCTGCAGACTCTCGACACTGGCTGCCTCCATGGCACTTAGGAAGCTTCCTTGATGGAACGTATATCCTAAGAACAACATTTAGTTGAAGCTTCTGATCACTGAGTAGTTTATCTGGCAAAAATCTACGCTTTCGATTTTTCAGTAATCCATCTTTGGGGCAAGTTAAAATTTAATAAGTACAGTGGAATTTTAGCTTGCTCCGAAAATGATTGTATCCGAATTGTCAGTCAGCATTTTTGTAAGTTTAACGATAATTTTTCAAGACCAAGATTCGATTGAGTAGAATTATTGGCTTTTGAATACTTCATACAGGGTACTTATTTACATATTTATTTACTTATTTATATGAGCCCATCACAGAATGCTGCTTTCCAAATTATATGAAAGGTCATATTGCAAAAAGTTATTACAGTTTACAATAAGTTGACCCTTCAATTTTACTTGGGTAAAATGTTTTTGTACACAACAGAAATCAAGAATTTACAGTAGCCCAATCTGATAAAGACTTAACTAAATTAAGTTATTTTTCTCCTGAAACTAATGCCAACGTGAAGACCTAAATAAATGCCTAGTCCTATCTATAGGGTAGGGGCCACGATTGTTGTGAATTTAATGTGAAGTTCCCATTCACCTCCTTTCTCCCCCTACCGTTAACTTAATATTTTTTAATTGCAAGGTACCCCTTTTGACATATCAAATGTGAGGACATGAAAAAGAAAAGGAATGACGCAAACTAGAGATCTCTACGTCAATCCTATCAAAAGTTATGGCAGTTCAAAAGTTGATTTTTCGCCCCTTTTTTTAAGAAATACCCCCCGCCGCAGCAAACCTGCAGACTAAGCGAATTTCCATTAACCTGATTGGATTTACACTAAAATGCCTCCATAAAAATAGCACATTTATTTCCTATTTAAATCAAATTAGTTTAACGAGTACTTAGGTTTGCTGCAAAAGGGAGGCTAAAAAAGATTTTTTTAAAAATTATAATAGTTTAGTAATAAATAAAAGTATTTTCCAAAATCGACCAAAATATGTTCATAAACAAGCAAACTACAACAGTTGACTTATTACTTATAATAACATAGGAATTTTAAAATTACAATTTTTTTGAATTTTCTCCGTAACAATTAGGCGCATAATAACGCTTCAATATACTAAATTATTTGTTTTTTTAAGCTCTACAAAATGGTTAAAAAAGAAATTGTGAAATTTTGTGTTTTTAGGGTCAAAAATGGGAAAAACCTATTTTTACCCCATAAAACCCCCCATAAACCCCCGTTCCCATAGTACGATCATGCTGGTTCGCGAACTCATTCAAGTTTATCGCCCCTTACACCTTCAAACCAAATTTTATCAAAATCGGACAAAAATTACTCAAGTTATTGTGCGGATGGACACATATATATATATATATATATTAAGAAAGAATATATATATATCTATATATATATCTCTATATATAGATATATAAAAATTTGAACGAATGGTGTTTTTGGCCTCTGGGGACATCAAAATGAAAAAATAAATCGGTCCCGGGCTTAGGTCTTACCATGAGACCTACGGTAATAGCTACTTCCCTATAGGGAAATTCGCTAAAACGCGTTTTTTTAATGGCTGTAGCTTGATAACGGTAAGAGCTAGCAAAGATTTGAAAAAATTTTCATGGTCAGGAATTAAACTTTCTACAAAACACTCTTAAGCGTTTTCCGAAAATCGCACTCATTCACCTTCAAAAATCGCCCTACTTTCTCGGATTTTGTATGGTTTTTAAATGAACAAGCATGCCATCAGCTAGTCTTTGACCTTTGAAAAATGCTTATTGTTCAATTAAAAAACCGGAAAAAATCCGAGAAATATTACAAACTTTAGAAAAGAATTTACAAGTTTAATAAAACGTATAGTCAAAGTAATAAACTTTATTATAATGTAAATCAAACTCGTCTTTGTTGTGTAATCCTTAGTTTCAAATTAGACAATTCAATTCTATTTCCTGTAATAAGTTTTGTAAAAAAATTTTGGAACTGTTTTTAATTTCATTAATACAGTAAGGAATTCCAAAAAAAGCATTACAGGTAAAAATATTTGAACAAAAACAAGGCAACGGTAGTGTGATTTAGGATGAAACAGGCTAGCAAAGATAAGTGGATAAAAGGAATCAAGCTTGTTGGAGAAATGTAGTTTCTGTTGTATGAGAGAAAACTCTCTGAGCTTAGGGAAAATGGGATAAAAGGTAAGCAGGACTTATGCTAGCGATGTAGAACACAAGGTAATAGTAGAACATAAATTTACACCTTCCAACCTGTTCTCTTAACTCTTGTAAATCTCTTCATCAGAGAACCCATTTTGTTATGTAAAGAAGGTTTACCTCGCAAAACTCTTTAGTTTTTAAATAGTAAATCTGCGGTAAAATTTGTACAATCTCAAAACTGTTTCCACAACTCATTGCTGTTATATATTTTAAGTTTATTTTCCTGATTTGCCAAATTCAAAAACTTAAATAATCAGTTTATTCCAAATGTATTTTAGAAAACCTTACAAAGAATTTATTGTTGTGGATATAACTTTTGCATTAAAAACGTTATTTCGGAGAACACCTTCAACAACATTCCAAAAGGTTTTAAATTGGTCAAAGGTCAAATGTTTGGTTTTTGTAATAAGAATAGTTAACTTTACCTCCGATCATGAGATAAGCCAACAAGTTGAGGAACATTGACAACACCCCGATGACTAGGACGGTGATGGGCGCATGCATCTCATCATGATGACTGATGTGTATCAGGGTCTGCAACGCTTCCACCAGCACGGAGAAACACAAGGAGGAGAGAAACACGCAGGCTATCAACATGACCAGCACGTCAACACGGGCCCAGCCAAAGGTGTTGCGCAGCTGCCGTTCTGGTCCGGGACTTGAAGCGCAACACTGTACACAACATACAACATGTGAGATGAGAAACACGCAGGCTATCAACATGACCAGCACGTCAACACGGGCCCAGCCAAAGGTGTTGCGCAGCTGCCGTTCTGGTCCGGGACTTGAAGCGCAACACTGTACACAACATACAACATGTGAGATGAGAAACACGCAGGCTATCAACATGACCAGCACGTTGACACGGGCCCAGCCAAAGGTGTTGCGCAGCTGCCGTTCTGGTCCGGGACTTGAAGCGCAACACTGTACACAACATACAACATGTGAGATGAGAAACACATGCTATCAACATGACCAGCATGTCAACACGGGCCCAGCCAAAGGTGGTGCGTAGCTGCCGTTCTGGTCCGGGACTTGAAGCGCAACACTGTACACAACATACAACATGTGAGATGAGAAACACTTGCTATCAACATGACCAGCACGTCAACACGGTCCCAGCCAAAAGTGTTGCACAGCTGCCGTTCTGGTCCGGGACTTGAAGCGCAACACTGTACACAACATACAACATGTAAGATGAGAAACACATGCTATCAACATGACCAGCACGTCAACACAAAGGTGTTTTGTATCTACTGTTCTGGTCCACAACTTGTGGTGCAACAACATACACAGTATAGCCTACATTTTATATGATAAACACAGGCTGTGAACTTGACTAGTACGTCAACACAAGCCCAGCTAAAGTGGTTGCGCAGCTGTTGTTCTTTTTAGTTTTTACTATATTATAAAAAATTTGATTTTTATAGATATAGGTAATTGTACTCTTATTACATATTTGGTATTGTTATCAAATCAAACAATAATATCATTACAATTTGTCATGATTTTACAAATTACACTGTGGAAGAAGGAAAGTGAAAAACGAAACCTACAGAAAACTGAAATGGGACCAGGTTTAATTGAAAATTAATTTGCATCAATGTTGCATAATTAATTCCAGCATTACCATTTGTGCTTTGTTGGGGAGCGACGCCAAAGACTTGAGTTCCTCGTGTGAGTTGGTTGCTACAGAATCATTGTCGGGTCTGCCACTCCCATGCTGAAACATTAACATTATTGTCATTACTTAACAAGTCTTTGTACAGTGTGTCAACATTATAGTTAATTATAGGCTTGTGACTTTTAAATGAGTTGGAGAGAGTAATGCTGCTTTCCCTAATTAAGTACGACTTGCCTCTAGTAATTAAATGAGAATAAAATTTTTGTCTGGAGCTCGTCACTGTCCTTAAAGTGAAGGGAAAGTTCAGGAAATCAAAGTAGTCACTAACAAAATATTTAGTTCTTCTTGTAAATTGAAAAGCATGGTACAAGAATATGCAATTTTTTATTATTATAAAAAGTTACAAAACAACTTATGTTGTGCAAAGAAAGAAAACAATGTAGGAAGAGTTGTAATTAAATTCCGAATTACAATATTTGATCAAAAGAATGAAACTGTGTTCAATAATTTTTATATATTTTCCTATGCGAAGAATAGTGTTAGGCTCTAAATTTAGTAACAACTATATAGTGTGCCAATTCGGAATATCTAAAAATATGATGGGGTGCATAAAGATAGTACACCCTAATTTGTAATAATGTCGCTCACCACAGACCATTTAATGATATTTGTAAAACTCTTAATGCATTGCCAGTGTTATCTCATAGTTGTTTTTATGAGACTCGAACCCTGAACCAACTGAACAAACATCTTCTGATTACAAAGTAAATTTTCGGCTGAAAAACAAGATCATTATAACCTTACTGCGTACAACAGGTTTTTAAGATAATCGATGGTTATACTAATTCATTGTTAGATTGTTTCTTTTCTCCGAACGTCAGTGGACTCTCGTCAGAGAAAAGTGAAACCGTTGAAAATATTTGTGAAACTTAACTTGATTGCTAGATGACATTGGCCCATATTGAATTCCTTAGCTGTACATTGATTATCTGTTGATTTTGGGACATTCTTAGGAGTTACAATTAGCAATTAAGAACCAATATAAAGTAAGATTTACAACTAAATATTCTCATCTGATAATGAAGTTTAATTGCCTAGTTGCAGCTTGCGAATCTTTTGGAAATCAGATGACTCTCGTCAGAAAAGAGTGAAAACCAAGCCGATTACTAGATTGTATGTGTTGGCCGTAACCCAGATAGTGAGAGCGAAAGCTGGACGACCTCCTGGCATTGACACAAACTTGAGTCCGATGCATTTTAATGAAGAATCGGTAGATGGGTGGACACAATAGCACAGTAATTTAATCATATGAATTACATCGAACTTCTAAAAACTATTTTTGGATGACATTTAACGATCAGATTTAATTTGTTTTGTCACTATAAAAGAAAGTAGCTCTGAAGAAATCTTTCAACTGGTTTAATTAGCAGCCAGCACTAGCAGTTTTTACTTTTCCCGTGTACAATGTGCTTCAGAGACATTCTACATCCATAATTAGGATTTTCTCTCATCGGTAGGTACTCTAATTACATCCTTGTACATCCTTATTTTTTGTCATTTGTCTAGTCAAAACTGTATAAAGACGTAAAAAATCAAATCATAAATTTCAAATAACAATCATCAGTTTTAATGCAGCAGAAAAACATGTTCTATAAATTATATTTGCTAAGCTTCTCTTCTTGCATTAATGAGACCTATAATTTTTGACCAATCAAAAACCAAAGTTGGTTTCCCCTCAAATTCTCTTCATCTGTTCAAATTTCTTGTGTTTTTTTCATCTTCTTCGATAGTTTTTTGAAGTTAAGAAAATTAGAAGACTTGAGAGCTATGACAAGGGTTACAAATCTTGATCACCTAACATGTATATTAAAGAAATTTTAGAAACATATTTGGATTTTCCTGCAGTTAAAAAAGAAAGTATAACCATAGACTTCGCAGCAAGTTAAACCAGCAGCTAGCACTCTTGCTGTTTCTACTTTCCCCATTTACAAATACTCACTGCTTCCATGATCTGGATCTTGATATATTGACAGGTTATACGTAAGCTTTAGTTTAAAATTCTTTTCTATTTAGTCTTTCCAGGCAAGAATCTCAAGATTTGTTTTAGCGATGTATGTACCAGTGAAATTTGAAAATCACAACTTGTAGCATCTTTAGGTTTACATTTTATTTTCAATCTTGAATCACTTATAAATGAGAGGTTTTAATTTACCTTGATTTTGTTTAGTGATTCTTATTCCTCCTTCAAAGGTATCTAGAATGATGGTCACCCTTGGAGGAGTTACTAGATAAGAATTACTAGATGAAATCAAGGTCAATTAACCTCATTTTATTTTTATTTTACTAATTTATACATATGAGAATTCATAACATTTATTGCTTTCAATTAGAGCCCATGATGTCCAGCCCTCCGGTCCCCCTGATCTCGAATCCAATGCCTTTCAAGATAAAACGACAACTAGATAGTTTCTTGCTGTTTTATTATCTTACAACGCAAATTAGGAACGATCATTAGGCAGACAGCCAGATGCACCTGACACGGATTTTCTTTGTTTATTTTGTCCTAGAAGAATATTATCTGCTTCATTGCATTTGAATCCTGGCTTCAAAACATATTTTAACTATTGCAATCTTGTGTATGCACAGACAATTTTGTTACCCTTACCACGCTGTATGTTTACCCAATGAGTAAATTTGTTCATCCTTACATAATCTTAATACACATGTATACACGAAAACACATCCAAAATACTCCCTTCACTACGTAGTCAAATTTCCATGTTTTTAACTGTACTATAAATTTTGCAGAAGAAACATTTTTTCAAAGGAAAACGAATTTTATATTCACACAAAATTGGAATCGAATAATTATATAAATAATAATGAATTTTCTTTAATAATGTTTAAAAAAGAAGGTTATCGATTTATAAACACAGTTTAACCCCAATTTCATGCTTAGTTGAGCATGTGAACATTGTCCTTGCGGATGGCCAAACAAGGAGAGTTGATGTAAACATTGGAACTGCTTTAAATGCATAGAACAATCTAGCGGCATGTCTCTGTAGGAATTACAACTTGTTGACAATCTTGCCCCCAGAGGGGAAGTAAATGCTCCGTGTTGGTATCGGCATTTTCAAGTTGGCCACAGACATGGACGACTGGGCATCGGGTCCCAGTGACATTCCTTTATCCAGGATGGAGGGGTGTTTAGCTCTAGGAGAGATGGAAGTACATCATAATCTCTAACCTACCTGTGTCTGTGGTTCTTTGGGCTTCGGCCTGCTTGTTGTGTGCGACCAGCATTCAGTGGGCAAATCCTCGACTTTGGAAGTAACCTTTCCTGGAGGTGAAAACGGGCAAGTACCCGCAGCTCACGGGGACACTCAAGGGCAACGTAACTTTCCGCAGTGTGAGGGCAACGGTTTGTAGGTACTTATGCAAACCAATCCCTGTCTCTGAGCACGGACGGTATGGTTATCTTGAGTGTGGGGGGTTCTTCCCGGAACCTCAATTGAGTCAAGGGTGTCGCCACCTCTGGTGGATAGGTTCATCCGGGTGGGTCCCACTTCTATACCTGCCTCCTTTTGGGAAACCCTGATGGCCTGGCAGTGATGTTGGGTCTGACGGGCAAACGAAGTAGATCGGGTGCTGGGTCCGAGCCCGCCAGGGGTATCTGGGGATCTATCGCTCTGGTTATCTCTGGTTTCCCAGCAATGGGTAAGGCCTCGATCGGGCAGCGGTGTAAATGGGAGGTTGGGGTTCCCCCCGTCAGCGTGCTGATGGTCCCCTTCCTCCTGGCTATCGATGGCGGGTTCTGCCTGTCAGGGATTAGATAGGTCCCGAGTGTTGCTTGCACTAAATGCGTCGGGGCGCTCTACCATGGACCTCTAGGTCCCGACCTAGTGGAACCCAGGTGGAGTGACGCTTAAACAAGCAGCCGGAATCCCTGGTTAGGATTGAGGGGCAACCCTCTTTCCGAAGGGTCTGCTTCGGCAGCCGGCGAGCCTGATGACCTTAAGTCATCCGCCCATGGTGTGCTAAAGGTTGATGCGTAAGCTTCGGCCTACATCATGGGGCCCGGGTATGTCCTAAAGGATAGGTACCGGGTATGCAGTCAGGGGGCTTCAGCTCTCATGACAACAATAAATGTATAATAATGTATAATGTTGACAATCTTAATGTAACTGCAAGACAAATGGTAGTTGAAATTGAAGCTCTGTAATTTGTGTTCTGCTGATTCGTGTTCTCGCACTGTTAAGCAGCATTTAAAACTACGTTAGTCATTCGAGAGTTCTGAAAACCTAGCTCGTCTTCAAATGTGAGACTAGAACGTAGGTTGAGACTGTTGTGTCTACCACCTTAGGGAGGGAGGTGGTCTAATGGTAGAACGTGGAGCTTTGGAGGTCCTGGGCTCAAATCCTGCCAATTGCCAATGGATTTTATCAATGTTATAATGCAGTGACCCTCTGGGACTAGCCTGAAGTAATGTGTCAAACAGTTTCCGGGATTGAACTAGCGTCCTAGGATGTGAGGGTTGGACATAAGAAAAAAGTGTTTACCACCTTGTCCAGATGCACCAGATGCATGTTTACATAGTTTACTAATCTAGTAAAATCACAGATGAATTTAATCATCAAATAAATCAATGAGAAAATGCAGTTTACTACAACGCAATATCAACCCACTTAAAATATAATTTTATTTTTTAAGCAAATATAATATATGGTTATTAATTTAAATACATAATTGCCCAATCAAAGTTATTGCAAAAGGCTTATACCAACTTACTATTCATAGTGCTACGGTTTATTTACCTGTTCAAAATTTTTTTTCTATTTTGTATCCAAGATCTATTTTGAACACTTCTCAACCCGGGCTTCAAGTCATATCCAGGTTTGGTGCTACAATCATCTGCTGCTACTTTATTGGAGCTAGAGTTTGACGAGTTGAATTCATCGACGAGATTAAACAGCTTTTTAAGTTAAATTCCAATATGCAGTGCAAATGCGTTTTATTGTTCTGAACGAAACCAAATTCTACACTGACTCATCTGTGTTTCATTTTCTTCCGCGTGGCCATGGAGAACTCGTGGATCTAAAAATACTTGACAAACGCCTCACAAGTGAATCTGTTATTTTATGTGGCAGAAGTTGTGGGAGGGCCGGGAGGGGACAAGGAACACATTTTACTACAGTCTTTGGCATGGAACCGGTGTTAAATCTAATATTAGCTACATGACACGTCGTCGGCGCCTGCCTACAATATTGTACAACGTAGTAGGCTACATCAGTCTACTTACATGTCTCTGGGGAATTGTGGAGTCTTTGATAGGATATTATTACTGTGATCAATTAAAGATGTTTTTTTTTTGTCACGGCTATGACAAAAATATGGGACACATCACAACTAACTCATCTGTTACTGGGCTACAAGTAGCAAAATCCTGTGGTATCCTGGTGTAGAATCTATATCTATTTATATTCTTTAGTATTTATAAGTATTCTTTGTATCATTTTAGTTCAACGAGAAAAGATACTATTTTGGAACACACAGTACAGTTGATTTACTCTTTTTAAATGGGCAACTTTTTTTGTAATTACGGACCCAACGATAAAATAAATCGTAGCTGTGCAAAACAAATCATCCAATTGTTTTGGATTTAATTTTGGTCTTTATCCTACACCAAAAGTAATATAATCGGTTGAGAATTGTAGTGCAAGATCCCAATACGAATTCATTATGTTATTAAAACCACAAATAACTAAGTAAACTTTGAATTAAAGTGTTAAAGTGGGAAACTCGGAGATTTAATTATAGTTTGCTCTCTAAATTCTGAAACTTCTTTTAAAAAGTGAAGAGTCAAAGTAGAAAATATATAAACAATTTCATTATACAATCCATCGGACGTGTAAAAAGTTTTAATAAATAACCTGCAAAAAGGAATGTAACAGAGGAATCTCTCAAAATAAAATCTATTGGTGTAACTTTAGCAACATGTAAATGTTACACAGATAATACAAAGCTAACAAAAGTCCCAATTTTATTTTCTGATCAAAACCAACTTATACTTTGAATGCTCACGAAATTGAGGAGGAATCTGATAAAGTTAGCAACTGCTAGACACGTGAGCTGGCAACTTGGTTGTTTGTCCCTAGAGCGTTCAAAACACGAGTTGTGGCAACCGATGTGTCTACGGGCACACAACCGTGAACTACATGTATTGGAAAACTATGTATAGAAAATCGTGACATAATTTAACGAATTACAAGGTTACAAGGTTTGTATACTGCACCAGAATTAGGCAAATACTTTTACTAATGATTTTGGTAGTTTATACAACGCCACAGCAATATTTAAATACCAAATGAGTTGGTGTAATAGGAACCTTTAAAGTTGTATTTTTGATTTCTTAATTATTAACACCTTTTTACAAATTATTCGAGTTAGATCAATCGATTCGTTTACTGCACAGTTTAGCTTTTTATTTAGGCTGTCTTATAGGGGATATCTTAAAAATTGATTTAGAAGTTTCAGGATAGGAAGTTATAATCGAAAGAAACAACTTGATTCATAAACCGTAAAATTTTAATGAGTGTGATAATATCAATAAGGGTAAATTGTTGTCTTACTTGTACCCTGAAAATGTAGCTAAAGGCAATGATTTCTCAAAAGTAAAATGACAGTGAGCGTATGATTATTGGACTGGAATTGTTTTATTAGTTGAGTGCACATGACATGATGAACCGGTTAACTAAATTTATAAACCTTTTATTAAGATCATTAATAACATATACGTTGCAAAATCAGATCTTGTGTAGCACTTACAATATTTCTTTCGAAAATCAAATTATGTAGAAAATATAATACTATCTGTTTGAAATTGGACACTGAAATATAAAATACTTTATATTACTCACTAATAAAAACGTACTAAATAAAAATAACTATGGAGAGATTAACATAACTGAAACCTAACCATACATTTCACTTAAATGTATTTACATGTTTAGTTCGACTGAAGGCAATAATGAGACAATTAGCGCCACAGGGTAACCTTGATCAGTCAGTCGCTACAAAGGTAATTAGGGTGACTATTGCTGGAGTCAATTACTTCTCTCAGATCAATTACCTAGATACAACAAACAGAGATACGGATCCGACATCAGTCAGTTAATTGACTGTTGACTCTGAGGTGTTGATATCAGTAGCAAACACTCTGTTAAGATCTAAGCATCGTCAAGGGATGTGGGATTTGAGTTACAGTTCAAAGATGTGGTTGAAGTTATTGATTTGTTTGACGTTGAAATCAGTAATATTTTTGTATGAAAAAAGTGAATGTTTTGACGTGAGGTTGATTTACAGAATCATAGTTGCATACATTAACCGGAGTTATTAGAGTACACATGCACAGAGACAATGGCTAAAGTTTTTTTAAAAATTGCTTGACGTAAAAATAATCAATGTTAAGGCAAAAGTAAAATGTGCTATCTAAATCTGTTCCGAAGAACGAGTTGCATTCCTTGATCATGTTTAGGACGTTAATAGTGCCCATAAAATAAGTAATTGCTTCATTAGGAATGTATTGAAAGCAATTAGTCTGCTTAAAGTAAGTTTTGATTTCACTAAGAATGTTTTGGACTCTATTAGTCTGCACGAAGAAGAAAGACTTTACATAAAGTGTATTGGACGCTAATGATACCAGCGACCAAGATTACAAGGCGGGCACTAAACCTGCAGCCCCATTAGAAATGTGTGAATCGACTAACTCTTTGTAAAATGATGGGAAATGCAATTTGATTATCCAGATTATCTAATAATTGGATAACCGTAATTAAGAATTGCAATAGAAAATATAGTCAAGACAGCCTGATAGTTTTACGATAGACAAATCAAGTACTAATATTAGTCCTGAACTTAAGCCATTTTGTAGACATACTGAATTTGAAAACTCCGAAAAAATATAGTTCCATATAATTATTTCTATGGATATTGTTTAAAATACTTGTTGCAGAAGGATAAAAAGAAAGCACGAGGTTCGATGGAAAACGGAAAAAGGGTCAATTCAGCATAACTTAAAACATATACACTGAGAAAAATACAGATCGTGCAATAACAAATTCTGAAACCCCCGAAAAGTTAACATATTAATTACTCTAAAAGCCAAGTCTGGCAAACAATTATGCTAGCTATACAATAATACAGAACAGAGAATCTATTAAAGAATGATTTCAGTTCAACTTCACTTGGGGCAAAACAAAACGGGAAAATAATACATAAAAAAATTTAGAAAGAATGTTTTGACAATCTTGTAGTAGAAAATGAGGCGTTACAAAATAATCAAGCATGTTTTAAAACATACTAAAAGATATCTTAAACCATAGACAAATTGTCTATTGCTTAAACTTACCTTGATGGAAATAATAGAACCGACGAGAACGATGATGTTGCAGAGAGCGTGGTAGGCGTCTAGCAGTAGAGTGAGGGAATGTGTTGCATGAGCAATAACTAGCTCCAGGAAGCACAAGCACACAGTCAGACCCAGGATGAAGTACACAGGCATTGGTTGTAGACTCTGCGCTAGCTGCTTCATTGCCATCCTGGAACAACACAATTTACCAGTCAAGATTTTAGTAGTGGTTTCAGTTGCTTCTTCTTTATTCTCTTTCTCTTGTGTTTTATCCTCTTTAATAAAGCTAAAGGAACAGGCCTTGCCTTTTTAAACACTGCTGTAGCGCCCTCTTTTAAGTACAAATGAGCTTATGTCTTTGAACATTTATTTTCATTGGGTTGAAAAACGTCAGAAAACTCATCTACAAGTTTAGCAAGTTGTTGATCAGTATTTTCTACTTTTAAGGTTTGTTTATACGGTTCTAAACACATCCTTTGCAAATCGGAAAGTGATATTTTGTGGAGAAATAAAGGTAAAATCCAATCTCTTCCCAAAATATTTTGTTTGACACCCGAAGCGACAAAAGCTCTGAGTTTGGTTTTAACGTTTGCGAAAGCGGTCTCGCCTCATTCTTCGACAGCGTTGAGAAGGTTGGACTTCGAAAAACTTCTCCTGCGCTGCTTGTACAATGTCTGCACTCTATTAAGACGAATAAAAATATTCATCGCCAGTCAAAGTCTATCCTGATTTTTATTTTGCCATTTATTCTTATATTAGCAAATACTTTGTATCCATCAACTAATGACTAACTCCAAATTTGAACTAGGTTTTACAACGATTCCCAAAATATAGTGATACGTAACACAATTCACTCTGACTAGTGAAAAACCTTAATTTTTGTAAACCTAAATTTACCAAGACTAAGATAAATGAAGTTATTTAATTACATTTTTTTCTACATTTTGACGAAATATATAAACATAAGTTGGTTTATTGGAGAGAAAGACACTCGTAATTTAGACGAGGATAAGGTTCTACTTGAGATAACTGGGATCGTTGTACTAGTTCACGGTCAGTAGATTGTGTATAGCTAGAAGGCCACGCATAAGTTAAATTATAAACTAAGATGACGAGTTTGGCTCGCGGATATTTTTACGCACGCCTTCTCAAGTTGCTAAGAATAGCACACATGTTGTTGACGGATATAGTTCGCTTTTATTGTATTCATTCATAAAATTAGTGTTAAACTTAGTTTAATATTGGCAAAATATTATTTTAATTTTATTTTATGTTGAGGAAATGTCTAATCCAAGATCCTAGACACATTTCGGAATCGTCGTGGTTATTAATTTCTTTATCGATTCGTTTATCATATTCCACTTTGGTTCCGCAACTTCTTTTGACTTGATTCTTAAATCGCGATAGAGCTATCAGCTGCTTCAACACCTTCAAGAGAGTAACCTTACACAAAGATAATTTGGAGTTAGACTAAGGTAGAGTAGCGTTTCAAACATAACCTCAGTAAAGCAATAGCATACCACTCTTAGCTTACTGTGACAGTTGGTTTGGTTTCTTACACTGTTGTAAGAGACCTTTCTTTGTAAATAGATACTCTTTGTGGGTAAATTGGATCAAACCCTTATAAATATTGCCTTGTGAATAAAATTCATTGACATTAGAGCGTAGTTCTTGAATTAGTTTTCCTCAGATCAATTAGATGTACAATCAATCGAAAATCTTACTTCATGTGCAAAACTATTTAAATTTGTACATCAAAAAGGAAAGGGCAAATTTATACAGTACTAAAACGAATCCCCCAATATATTTTAAATATATTTAATTCAGTTAACAATAGCAGACAACCAGGCCGTTTTCGAATTTTGTCAAGAATGAACAAAACCACCATGACCAGTTTTACACACTGTTTGCAACAAGAAACAGATAGGCTGTTTTTTTGACGAAATTTTACTTGTATAAAAAATCAACTGACTATATGACGATTCGTGGTCTTATTTAAAAGCACTTGCTTTCTTGGTTATGCAACGATTATGTTATGTGTATAGTATAGTATAGTGTATAGTACTATGTGTATAGTATGCAACGATAGTATATGTGATGCGACGATTATTTTTATATCTACCGTTAGATTCTAATGCAACAAAAATCCCCAGTCTTGCTACATTCATCCATAGTTCCACTAGAAGCTGTTGTCGCCTTGGTACTTAACTCGGTCGAAACCCTAGCAGGAAGTCGCAATCTTTCAATCAGCTTCTTGTCGTCACGGATCTACCCCGTCTGCGTTACGCTGATTTGATTTGGTTCAATTATTGATCTCATTGATCTTGATATCTAATCAACCCAGCAAGAACATAACCAGATTTGATTCAGTTGATCTCGTTGATTATATTACCCAATCAACCCAGTAATAACAGAAGCTAATAATGTTGGATGATTCCTATTGGCCTTAATGTACTCATAGAGAATTTATTTATTTGGCTGAATCAAACTCGTTGATATTGTTGACAAATTAACTCAGTAAGGACAAAAGTTTGTTTATTGTGACCAAACGTCTTTAGTTCTGTTGAACCAATTGATCCGATGGCTAATAAACCCAGTGACTTCAGGAGTTGATTAGGATTTGTTGAACTCTATGGTCTTGTGGCTAATCAACCAATTAAAAAACCCTAGACCAACTAGAGAGAACAGGAACTGAACAGTATCGATTGAATTCGTCATCAATGTGTCAACTGTATAATAAATTGAATGTGTTATAGTATATTTAAACATTATGGCAAGATTTTAAAATTTTTGTTTTTACTAATTAATGTGATTTTCCACAATTAATTCGACCATCAGTGATATTTCCCTCCCTCTCTACTCCAGCTGTGAAGTTATCTAAGTTAAAACACTATCATAACCAACACGGTTGAGTATTCACTCCTGTCTCTTAATCAGTTAATAAACTTTGAGGGGCTGCTATTTTCAAACGAATAGGTCTTTTCAGTCGGGTTTGCGGCAATGTCCACAAAACGAAAAAAAATACTGTTTAAATGACCAAAAAGTCAGTAACTACATTGAGGACGTAATTCTACAGTTACTTTGTTCTGCGTAAATTAATAAGATAAATATTTATGCATTGCCAGACTGTTTGAACACCCGGTCTATATCAATCAGAGGAACTGGACCCGGCTGTTATTTATAATTGGGATTTTAGTAGTATATCTCACCCTACCCACTTTCATAATTTAATCATATTTGCGTAAAAATATGTTAGTAAGTATTAGTATCCCCATTCTAAATAATAATTTATTTTTGCGAATTTTCTATTTCATATCAAATATAACTTTTTTCCTAGGACTCCCTTTTTTTGTGTACAGACTTCCTTATTACTTGTACATTTTCCTTAGCTACAAATCTAAGAAGTTTCGTGTCCAATTTTATTTTTTAGAATAATTTTTAAAATACTACAATTTGATTTCCATTAACTTAAAACGTTGTTAGAAATTAACAACCATGTAACGATTAACATTGCTTGACGTGTTTACAGTAAAGATTAATTTTAGTTACTATGTAAGTCTTATCTACCGTGAAAATAAGTTATTCAGAACTATGAGCTCGTTATCTGCTTTAAGTGTTAATAATGCGTTATCTACTTGTAAATATTTGGCAGATTATGTCTCGTTAAACGGCAGGAAAACATGATATTCTTGGGGATAAGGTATTAATTGGAAATATTTTATCCCTATTTTCATCCACCTTACCCTTGTAAATTGATTAAATAAACAAAAAATATTTGTCAAATTATAAAATAAGTTTTTTAAATGGATTTTTTTTAAATATACTAGTAAAGATAGTGGATTATTATTTAGGACATCTATAATTATAACATCATTCCCGCAATATGGTCAAAATCGTAAAAGCTTCTTAATGAAATAAAAATCTTTACTTTCTATATGTATACACATTATTTAAATACTTATTGTTAACACATAAAACACATTAACACTTTGATTTTTTAGGCGTTCAGTTTAACAATATGGAGTGTTTTAAAGTTAAAACTAAACAGCAAAGTTGAAAATGTGCATGAATAATCTATTTTGCGTGTTACAATCAGTACCTTAAATATGCTTTCAAGGCATTCGTAAAGCCTTTTGTAGACCATAATTGGAATATACTATTAAATTATATTTATTACTACTTGTTACTGATTCCTTATGGTGTAATAATATTTAATATAGGATATTTTGTATGACAACAGTTAATTGCATATACAGGGTGGCTGAAAAGTAACTTGCACCCCACTTAACTTTTCAACCATTTGAGATATTTGAAATCGGTTTGCGGCAACCTTCTTAGATATGAGGGGCTACAATAATTATGGTCAATTTTGAAAATTTTGCCCTTAGGGGTAGCGGGTGTAGCTCAACATTTTCAAATTACAAGTATAGTCGAGTTTGGTATCATTTTACAGGTCTTGACGAAACATGAACATTGACATAAAGAAAACCAAAATCGGCACACTAATAACAAAATGACGCCCTAAAACGTTTCAAATCCAAATAACCATGAGGGTGGCAAAAAAAATAATAACTTGCACCCTCTTTAACTTTTTAACTATTTGAGATATTTGAAATCGGCTTGCAGCAACTTCTTTGGAAATGAAGGGCTACAATAATTATGGTCAGTTTTGAAAATTTTGCCCTTATGGTTATTGGTGGTAGGGGGTAGCTCAAGATTTTCAAATAGCAACTACCATTGAGTTTGGTATCATTTTGTTGGTCTTGACGAACATAACAATTAACATAAAGAAAATAGAAATCGGACCATTAATAACAAAATGGCAGCTAAAAATGATTTGAGACAATGGTTATTTAAAGTAATTTTGAGCTGCCATTTTGTTATTAATGGTCCGATTTCTATGTTCTTTATGTTAATTGTTATGTTCCGTCAAGACCAACAAAATGATACCAAACTCGACTATACTTGTTATTCGAAAATTTTGAGCTACCCTCTACCCCTGCTACCCCTTAGGGCAAAGATTTTCAAAACTGACCATAATTATTGTAGCCCTTCATTTCCAAATTAGTTTCTGCAAACCGATTTCAAATATCTCAAATAGTTAAAAAGTTAAAGAGGGTGCAAGTTAATCTTTTGCCACCCTCATGGTTATTTGGATTTGAAACGTTTTAGGGAGCCATTTTTTATTAG